CAATCTATAACATAAAATTACTTCACGCACATGGAAAAATTAAAACCAAAGAAAAATAGATTGTATTGCTAATTGTTCATCTAAAGATACAATAATCCACGAGATTTCAAGACTCATGTGACTATCCACGAGATTTCAAGACTCATGTGACTATCCAATGATTTCAAGACTTATGGCAGTACCTAGTCCAAAATGGGCTTATTGCATATTTTCCAAGCACATACAGATTTTAACGAACGTAATCAATGTATCACTGGTAAATTATTAAGTCAGGGATTTCGTTACCAACAATTACTTAAAACATTTACTAAGTTCTTTCATAGATACAAAGACTAGATTATTAAATTTGGCTGTACCTGTAGAAAACTTATTAAAAATGGTATTTCACATCCTAAATGTTACTGTAATATTGTACTAAAAGTGTGGAAATCACTATGTGATCCGTGTAAACTCATCGAACCTTTAAACAAACCTATTAGTAAAGGTTATCTTATTAATGTTGTAATAAGATCTTTGAATATTGTTTTCATTGGCACTAACATCGATTTTGTCATCAACAAATTAAAACATAACTAAATTTGTATTCTTTTCGAATGGTTTTTTGGGATGTATATATACACATCCACGTTTATTTTCTATTTAGAAATTGTTTTATCTATACATAACATCATATATATTTATTAATCCTAACTACTGCCTGTCATTTATTTTTATTTTGGCATTGCACAAGTCATGTCTTCTTTGACTATCCATGGCGTTAAAACACTAAATCTCTGTCTGGGATGTGTTTTAAATGATTTTAGTCTCTGATGCATGATTTTTTATTATTAATTGTTTTTGGCTTTTAACTAGCTTTCAGTAAATGCGAGTATTCTCAAATCGTACTTTCGTGTTAATTTGACCTGTTGACACAATTTGTAATTCATTTCTGTTATTCAATGTTTACTTATTTTGTGTTATATCTCGTCTTACTATTTTTAACATGCACCACCTTTGATAAGTATTTAGTATGACGAAAACATTTTCACTTCTGTACTCGTACTATGAATAACAAATTTATGTTGTAAAAAATGTTTCTGTACTCCTAACAACAAAATTATTATATTTAAATTAACCTGTGTACGTTACTTTATTTAACGCCATTTTGTCCTAGTTAAAGTTGTCTTTTTGACATTGAAACATCTTTTTTATTTATATTGTGTCATAGATCAAACTTATTCGTTTAGTGTATATTTCCTTGTTTTTGTGTATTGTCTTTTTGATCGAGTTAAGCCATTTCAATTGATATTTTATTGTGTGTCTTTTTATGTTGTAATGTTATACTACTGTTTCAGGTAGGGTGATGGTTGGCGCCTGTTAAAACGTTTAAACCCGCTGAATTTTTATGCACCTGTCCTAAGTCAGGAGCCTGTTTTTCAGTGGTTGTCGTTTGTTGGTGTGGTTTCTCGTTTCTCGTTTTTTATATAGATTTGACCGTTGGTTTTCCTGTTTGAATTGTTTTACACTAGTCTCTTTGGGGCCCTTTATAGCTTGCTGTTCGGTGTGAGCCAAGGCTTCGTGTTGAAGGCCGTACTTTGACCTATAATTGTTTACTTTTTACACATTATGGTTTGGAAAGATAGTTGTCTCATTGGCACTCATACCACATCTTCTTATTTATATGAAAATAAAATTTGTATCAAGTTTATTATGACAGATTTGTTGAAATAACAGTATAAAAGTGTCTTTTTCTATATCTAAGACGACTCAATGTTTGAAAATGGCAGTGCACTATAGAACGTACCTAAATGAAACAAACTTTCTAGAAAAATCAACTCTATTTAACCAACAAAAAATATATACCACAATTAAGTTAACGTGCTCGAAAGAAATGGCATTGAAATTATGAAACAACATCACTTCACCTGTTTATTGTTGAAAGCAAATAATGAGGTGTGGTATGATTTCCGATGAGACAATTACCCACCAGGGACCAAAGGACGAGTGTGTACCATTACACAACACATAGACTGTACATTACTCTATATGTCATGTGATTATCATTTTTGTTGGGTGACTGTCTTAGAGACAGAAAACATCCTGGTTCTAAGACAGAGTTAAAATACCGCTAATGAGTTTAATAAGTGAGAAACTGTAATGAACAAAATGTAAAGATTGATGAATGAAGCCGTTGATTTTGTGAAAGGGATAATTTCAGCCTTGCCAGAGACTACAATTAATTAACCTTATTCTCTATATGTTGGATATATTTTGGGATTCGTACTGTACATTACACATACAAAAATGCCCCCCCCCCCCCCCCCCAAAAAAAAAAAGGTGGGATTTTTTTTTAAATATGACAAAACGATAATAAAGAACTAAAAGGGGAATTAATTGTGGTCTATGGTCGCATGTCTTCCTAATAGCTATGCTGTAGTAGTTATTGTTCTAAAAGAAGAGTAACAAAACGAAGCTTACCCACAACAAATCGTGCCCTATTCACTTTACGTAATATCTTAACTAAAGACATGACTTCCATTACAAATAAATTTGCTTTCTAGAGTAATAAGTTATTAAAAATATGGATCCATTATCGCCTTCAATTGTTTTTATCTAATCAGTTCTGTATTTCGTTTAAGTAATTCCGTTATGGAAATTGATATATCAAATGGCGCTATAAGATTAGTCCGTACTTTTTAATTTTTGTTTTCAATGTGTTTAATGAATCTCTAAACTTCTTAGCTGGTTTATGATTTGTGTGTTGAATCTGAGACTACTATAACACGTGTTATAGTAGTCTCAGGTTGAATACATAAACAAGACAATAATAAGGCGCTATACGATTAGTCCGTACTTTTTATTTTTGTTTTCTCTGTGTTTAATGAATCTCTAAACTTCTTAGCTTGTTTATGATTTGTGTGTTGAATACATAAACAAGACAATAATAAGGCGCTGTAAGATTAGTCCGTACTTTTTATTTTTGTTTTCAATGTGTTTAATGAATCTCTAAATTTCATAGCTTGTTTATGATTTGTGTGTTGAATACATAAAAAAGACAATAATAAGGCGCTGTAAGATTAGTCCGTACTTTTTATTTTTGTTTTCTCTGTGTTCAATGAAACTCTAAACTTCTTAGCTTGTTTATGATTTGTGTGTTGAATACATACACAAGACAATAATAAGGCGCTATACGATTAGTCCGTACTTTTTATTTTTGTTTTCTCTGTGTTCAATGAAACTCTAAACTTCTTAGCTTGTTTATGATTTGTGTGTTGAATACATAAACAAGACAATAATAAGGTTAACAAGTAGATTCAGCGAATCAATTTAAACAATAAGAATTAATTGTGTTTTGCCCTTTCAATTCTTATTTTGGGAAGTCCTCGTCTCCTATAAATAAAAAGAAATGTCCTTGTAATGCAAATAGAAAAACATACTTAATTAAAAGTCAATTCTCTCCTAGAAGTTCTATTGCATCACAATTTGTTCCTACGAACAGAGCTTAGCATTTCTGAATAATACAGAAGTTTTTATCTGAGTGTCAAAACTCTGTACAATGACGAATAATTAATATACAGATAATAGATATATATAGTGTGTGGAACATATTTCAAGTTGATTGTGTATTTAAAAAAAGCAGGGTTTATTTAATTCATATGTAAAGATGTTGATTTTCCTGACCAAAAATCGATCTTCGAAACAACCCAAAATTCACATAGAAAAGGCGAGACAATTATTTTCTTAATACGTTATTTCATACTATAAACTTATAGAACGGATACATATAATCATGTTTATTTCAGTAATGAACCTTTATTGGCGATATAATTGGTCAATAGAATTTATTATTTTCAATTATATACACATAAAACTTAAAAACAACAATATTAATCATATATCAATTGTCCATCCTTACATCAAGCACGTGTCAGTCAGTTTTAGGAATAGACTGTCTATGACTTTTGTAATGAATGGCTATTGCAGATTTTATCGTGACTATTTATTCTCTACAGAATGGTCATAACTTTTATTTTGATTGTGGTTTTTGTCGATCGTAAAAAATAATTTACATTCTTTGGGTTTCTTCTAACGGATGATCGAAAAAAGCGGGTGGCGAGTGGTTAATTGTTCTTTTTTCGCATTAATAAAAATATCGCAATAATTTCTGAATTACAGTACTCAGGTGTTGGTATCAAAATTGAGAATGGAAATGAGGAATATGTCAAAGAGACAACAACCAAACCAAAGAGCACAAAACAGCCCAAGACCACCATTAGTTTGTGATTTTTTCTGCAAACCTGAATCAAAACAACCACACTATATATCAAATCTGTATCGCAACTTTTTTCGTAAATTGCGTTGGAAAAAAATGGCGGAAAGTTGCCTTCACCCAATGATAAAAACTGAATAAAGTCAATAAAAGAATCTTATTTGTCCAAAGTCAGGAGCCTGTAATTCAGTGGTTGTCGTTGGTTGCTGTCTGTCATATTTGTTTTTTGTTTTAGCATAAATGAGATTATTTGACACTTTTCATGTCGGTGTCATCTGCTAAAGTTTGCTTTACGGTATGTGGTTTGAAGGTCGTACAGTGACCTTTCGTTGTTTACATCCTGGTCAGTTGATCTTTGGTTGATACTTGTCAATCAAACCACATCTCGTTATTCTTATATTTGATACTTTAGTTACAGTTCCAAGACAAAGATCCGTATGCTCTTAGATCTTTTGCAACTTTTAAATAATCATTGGTTCATATGAAACTAAGACAAAAACAGAAAATTATACATATAAAAAAGACATGTAATACAACACAGAAACAAACCGAGTAAAACGAACTCGATATTATATAATTGACATTTGTGTGTTTACTAAAACAATGACGAAGATTGTTTTTATTGAAAATGGAGATTGACATTGAAATAGATATCCCCATTCTATATTGGCCATAGCAATCAGGTAAATAGATATCAAAATAATAAAAAAAAAACCAAACAATCCTTTTAACTTTAATTATGCGTGTTATTCATTTAACATACGAATAATTAATATTTGTTTGTTTTATAAAATGTCGCACACTATTTCTGATAGAAACAAATTCAGAAAGACCGATGAAGAAAGAGTAATAAAAAATGTAAAAGAGGATTATTTAATTTGCAGTATCTGTATAGACCAGTTTGTGGATCCACGTGTTTTACCGTGTGGACACAGTTTTTGCTTAACATGTTTAACGGAATATATTGATAAGTCTGCGAACGAAGAAGAATTCGCCTGTCCTATAGATAGACAAAGTATGCAAAAACCTTTTGGAATGAAAGACTCAAAACGATGGGCACAGTACTATCCACCAGCAACCTTTTTACGAACACTTGTTAAAGCTGTTGAAGTCCACGAAGGAACGGTACCAACTTGCAGACGACATCACGGAAGGCCACGTGAGTTTTATTGTGCAACAGATGATGTATTAGTCTGTTCCGAATGTGCAGTGAACGAACATCGATCAGAAAACTGTGACTGCACTACGCTTAATGATATATACAAAAGACGAAAAGACGATATTCAAATACTTCATAGTGCACTCAGTGGTCAGGAATCCTGTGTTCATCAGTTGATAACCGATCAGTATAGATTAAGGGAACTTTTCTTGGAAAGCAAATCGAGTGTCAAGTGTGAACTAGATATGGTCAGAGATCGGTTGTCTGTGTTTTATGAAAGCACTTCACGGGCATTAGATGAATTGTCCGAAGAAATTGACAAATCGGAATTTACTAGATACAATTTAGAAGCTCAGCTAGATTCTTTCTCTAAAGATATTTCAGAAATGAAAGATGAACTAAAAGACCTTAAACCGAGTATTGATTTTATGGACATTTTACAGAGAATAGAATCAAAAGTGGATTATTATGGTTCTGAACTTGAAGACATTTCATCTTTCCTAAAGGAATTTGAAAAATCAGAATGTGCGCGCATAGAATTTGTCCCTAATACTTCTTTCATGGGAATATTAGATGAATATTCTGTTGGATCTATTGTAAACCACAGTGATAATTAATGTTAACACATTTCCCCTTGTTTCTCACTTTCTTCTTTTGTATGTTAATCCTGGATACATGACTTGTATATACTATGCATAAAAGAAGGCTATTATTTATACGGACTATATTATGTCTCACTGTTAATTTATCTATAAATTGTAGCTATTCGTAAAAATAACAACACTAACACAGATTATACTTGTTTACAATAAATAACAACACTAACACAGATTATACTTGTTTACAATAAATAACAACACTAACACAGATAACACAGATTATACTTGTTTACAATAAATAACACAGATTATACTTGTTTACAATAAATAACACAGATAACACAGATTATACTTGTTTACAATAAATAACAACACTAACACAGACTATACTTGTTTACAATAAATAACAACACTAACACAGATAACACAGATTATACTTGTTTACAATAAATAACACAGATAACACAGATGATACTTGTTTACAATAAATAACAACACTAACACAGACTATACTTGTTTACAATAAATAACAACACTAACACAGACTATACTTGTTTACAATAAATAACAACACTAACACAGATTATACTTGTTTACAATAAATAACAACACTAACACAGATTATACTTGTTTACAATAAATAACAACACTAACACAGATTATACTTGTTTGCAATAAATAACAACACTAACACAGATTATACTTGTTTACAATAAATACCAACACTAACACAGATAACACAGATTATACTTGTTTACAATAAATAACACAGATAACACAGATTATACTGGTTTACAATAAATAACACAGATAACACAGATTATACTTGTTTACAATAAATAACAACACTAACACAGACTATACTTGTTTACAATAAATAACAACACTAACACAGACTATACTTGTTTACAATAAATAAACACAACTAACACAGATTATACTTGTTTACAATAAATACCAACACTAACACAGATAACACAGATTATACTTGTTTACAATAAATAACACAGATAACACAGATTATACTTGTTTACAATAAATAACAACACTAACACAGACTATACTTGTTTACAATAAATAACAACACTAACACAGACTATACTTGTTTACAATAAATAACAACACTAACACAGATTATACTTGTTTACAATAAATACCAACACTAACACAGATAACACAGATTATACTTGTTTACAATAAATAACAACACTAACACAGATTATACTTGTTTACAATAAATAACACAGATAACACAGATTATACTTGTTTACAATAAATAACACAGATAACACAGATTATACTTGTTTACAATAAATAACAACACTAACACAGATTATACTTGTTTACAATAAATACCAACACTAACACAGATAACACAGATTATACTTGTTTACAATAAATAACACAGATAACACAGATTATACTGGTTTCCAATCAATAACACAGATAACACAGATTATACTTGTTTACAATAAATAACAACACTAACACAGACTATACTTGTTTACAATAAATAACAACACTAACACAGACTATACTTGTTTACAATAAATAAACACAACTAACACAGATTATACTTGTTTACAATAAATACCAACACTAACACAGATAACACAGATTATACTTGTTTACAATAAATAACACAGATAACACAGATTATACTTGTTTACAATAAATAACAACACTAACACAGACTATACTTGTTTACAATAAATAACAACACTAACACAGACTATACTTGTTTACAATAAATAACAACACTAACACAGATTATACTTGTTTACAATAAATACCAACACTAACACAGATAACACAGATTATACTTGTTTACAATAAATAACACAGATAACACAGATTATACTTGTTTACAATAAATAACAACACTAACACAGATTATACTTGTTTACAATAAATAACAACACTAACACAGATTATACTTGTTTACAATAAATACCAACACTAACACAGATAACACAGATTATACTTGTTTACAATAAATAACAACACTAACACAGATAACACAGATTATACTTGTTTACAATAAATAACACAGATAACACAGATTATACTTGTTTACAATAAATACCAACACTAACACAGATAACACAGATTATACTTGTTTACAATAAATAACACAGATAACACAGATTATACTTGTTTACAATAAATACCAACACTAACACAGATAACACAGATTATACTTGTTTACAATAAATAACACAGATAACACAGATTATACTTGTTTACAATAAATACCAACACTAACACAGATAACACAGATTATACTTGTTTACAATAAATAACACAGATAACACAGATTATACTTGTTTACAATAAATAACAACACTAACACAGATTATACTTGTTTACAATAAATAACAACACTAACACAGATTATACTTGTTTACAATAAATAACACAGATAACACAGATTATACTTGTTTACAATAAATACCAACACTAACACAGATAACACAGATTATACTTGTTTACAATAAATAACACAGATAACACAGATTATACTTGTTTACAATAAATACCAACACTAACACAGATAACACAGATTATACTTGTTTACAATAAATAACACAGATAACACAGATTATACTTGTTTACAATAAATACCAACACTAACACAGATAACACAGATTATACTTGTTTACAATAAATAACACAGATAACACAGATTATACTTGTTTACAATAAATAACAACACTAACACAGATTATACTTGTTTACAATAAATAACAACACTAACACAGATTATACTTGTTTACAATAAATAACACAGATAACACAGATTATACTTGTTTACAATAAATACCAACACTAACACAGATAACACAGATTATACTTGTTTACAATAAATAACACAGATAACACAGATTATACTTGTTTACAATAAATAACACAGATAACACAGATTATACTTGTTTACAATAAATACCAACACTAACACAGATAACACAGATTATACTTGTTTACAATAAATAACACAGATAACACAGATTATACTTGTTTACAATAAATACCAACACTAACACAGATAACACAGATTATACTTGTTTACAATAAATAACACAGATAACACAGATTATACTTGTTTACAATAAATACCAACACTAACACAGATAACACAGATTATACTTGTTTACAATAAATAACACAGATAACACAGATTATACTTGTTTACAATAAATAACAAAATGATACCAATCAAGTATTACGCAGTAGAATTGAATGAATATTTTTGAAAAATATCGAAATAATTGAAAACAGTCACTGTGTAGAACTGAATTAATTCTGCTCAACTAAACAAATAGAAAAATAAGAACTTTATTAAATTTTGCTGAAACATTGAACCAACATCAGATATTTAAAAACATGTACAAAATATGTGAAGCGCGTTTGAATGGCAGGGTTATTTTTATTTTTAAATTCATAATATTTGTTTATGTTTTACTTTTCGATGCACGTATTGTTCATAACTGTCATGGTAAAACAACAATTATTACAGACTCTGAAGTACAGTAGTAAGACAATTCTGGTTGCATTTTGGTATTGTTGCTGCTCAACTGCTTAATAAGAAATAATAGATATAATTATAAGTCGCTGGACGCTTAAATACCTTTCTTAGAACGTCATGAATACAATATTCCGACAAAGGTTTATAAGGCATCTAATCAGAATTGTCAAAAATATCTGCATAATATATTAAGTGTGATTGAATATATTTCTATTTCCTGTCCTATTCTATACACTTCTTTCTTCGTGGCAATTCAGTTTTGCTGAGGTGAAGAAATCTAGTCGTGTTGATACATTAACGGTATCGATTTTTCTGCACCAGATACGCATTTCGACAATCAATTTCTCTTCAGTGATTCTCCAGGTCAACATATTTGGAAAAACAAACATTTATACTAACGTTGAATAGCTGATAAAACCACATTGAGAGCTAACTGTAAATACACAAACATGTCCAGTGAGAAGTTTAATCAACTGTTCCATGTTCGGATGGTTCATCGCTTTGGAATGTTGTAGAAATATCTACAACTATGAAGTCCCTAGATAGCCTCTTGAATGGCAAAAAGTCTTGTCATGTTCAAATTCAAGGATTAATGTTGACGAAGTTCTGCCCAATAGTATTAAAACAGCAAAACGTTCATTTTTAAAAGAATGGGGGTATTTTATATTGTCTTTCCATCAAGTACCACTGTTTTTATTCATTTTGAAAAGACGATGAAGTATTCTTAATTTCAATCTTGTTTTGCTAGTTGTAGTAATATAAACCAGTTGTAAACTATGATAACAATTTCATGCGTTAGATACATGCTAAAGGTAGTAAAAGAATGTAGACTTTACTTCTCAAACTATCAATCTGGTTATCGAATTTAACATTTCAAAAGTTACTTTATATATATCAAGATTGGAAACAATGAAATTAAATGCTCTTGGAGAGCGTTTTGTATTGGTACGACTTGACAACGCATTAAACAAAGTTGTTGTTGTTTGATGTACTGTACCAAAAAGCTCAAAATTGTGGTTACAAATTCCTACAACCGCCAATGAAAAAAAGATAGTAGATAAACGCGTTTAAAGAACGACAGAACTTACAACTGCTTCTGAACATTGCAGGGTTCCACTATGTATTTGCTGCCTATATTAAACAAGAACCTTACATTTTTTTATATATAATTACATCTGCATGGTATATTTTCAACTGCAATTAATAAATTTTTTTCTGATTTATATCAGTTGAAGTAATTACTACCATGCGTATCTATATTACAATTCCTTTTTAGTAATAACACTTGGAAAACACTATTTAAGGCCCATTGTCACTATCAAAGTTTTCTTGGTCAAAGTTATTGATAAATCTTTTGTAGTAAAACCGTCAAAGAACACTTTGATCAAAAACTATGAAGGATTTTGATGGAAAAGAATCTCATTCTGTTTTTCTTGAATCTTGGACGGACTTATCCAGGCCACGTGATGATTAGATCTGTAGATATGACTTATCCAGGCCACGTGATGATTAGATCTGTAGATATGACTTATCCAGGCCACATGATGATTAGATCTGTAGATATGACTTATCCAGGCCACGTGATGATTAGATCTGTAGATATGACTTATCCAGGCCACATGATGATTAGATCTGTAGATATGACTTATCCAGGCCACAAAGTCATGATGATTAGATCTGTAGATATGACTTATCCAGGCCACATGATGATTAGATCTGTAGATATGACTTATCCAGG